ATGATTTTACTATTCAGCACCGATCAACGCAAGAAATCGGTTAAGCAGATGCCTTGTCTCGCCTCATCAAATCATACCCAAGAGAGAATGATGATTGTGTGTTCGCAGCCACTAAATTCGAGCCCGAAGTTCATCAGATCCTGATTGAAAACGTCGGAAGATTACCAGTCACTGTTGAGACAATTCGTAAAGATACCATCAATGAAGAAATCTTATTGGAAGTTATGAACTACATACAGACAAAGTGGCCGAATGGTGAAATCTCTCCAAAGCTACGACCATTTTTCAATCGACGTGAGTCGCTTTCAATTGTTGATAATTGTTTAATGACGGGAGACGGAGTTGTAGTGCCAACGAAATTAGGAAAGCAAATGATGCAACAGTTTCACTCAGGACATCCAGGTACAACTCGTATGAAAGGCCTGGCGAGAAGTTTCGTTTATTGGCCTCAAATGGACGCAGAAATAGAGCAGTTTTGCCAGAAATGTGAACTTTTTCAAATGGCGGCAAAGGCACCTCCCGAATGTCCAGAACAACCATGGCCGAAAAGCAAGAAACCATGGGAAAGAATTCACTTGGATTATGCAGATCCAGTCAATGGTCAGACTTATCTCATTTTGGTGGATTCATTCACTAAATGGCCAGATGTATTCCTTTTGTGCAATACTACGGCACAGTCTATGGTCGATGAAGTGGTTAAAGTGTTCCAAAATTTTGGTAATCCGGAGCTAATTGTGACTGACAATGGAACACAGTTCATCTCAACACACTTCAGACAGTTTTGCAAAGAAAATGGTATCGAGCAGAAGTTCTCACCGCCTTATCATCCTCAATCCAACGGGCAGGCTGAACGAGTCGTGAATACCTTCAAACTGACTCACTTAAAGTGGGAGGAGAAAAGACGTCCGGCAATACGATCCAACCATTTTTGACAATGTACCGAAATTCCCCAAACCCAAACCTTCCCGTTGGAAAATCGCCCGCAGAATGCACGATTTGACGGGAAATTAGGACTATTTACGATAGTCTTAGGCCCAAGAGAAAGGATGCCAGAAATGCAGCACCGCGTGGATTACAGCTAAGACAATCGAAAACGGAAACGAACAAACTGGCTCCAAGTTAGCTCGAAGAAGAAGAAGAGAAAACACGATCCAATTCAAGCAGCCCGAAAAAAGTTACGAATTGAAAAGGGAGGTAATACGGCTGCGCATCAGCCTACTGCACAGCGAAACAATCATGTGAAAAACGGCCGTGCGATTACGCTTGAAAGTATGAATTACGTCCGATTTCATCATGTGCCAGAGAAAGGCCAAATATGGACACAGAAAGTTCACATCCACTCCGTGGACAAGGCACCCCGTACATAGGCGCAGAAACGGCCAAATATGATCAACCGAGACAAAGGAACAACCGCCCGAAAACCGGTGTGGGTGTGTGGGAGACACATTGGTTGGTTGACAGCGGATCGACCATCAAATACTGTGAGAAATTATTTATGTATATACAATTAGCGAATATGCACTCATCTGCAAGTTTATTTGGTTCTTTCGGGAAACTCATCTGGATCGCAACTGAATCTCTCTTTTCTGCTTTTCTCAGGCAGCTGAATGTGGATATTCAGCAACCTTATTTTATTGCATTTCAATTTTACACATATATATATATATATATTTGGAAATTTGTAATTGCGTTAATACACAGTTCCCTCTGGTCGTCTTCTTCTCTTGTGACTCTAACCCAGCAGTTGAACGGATACAACACTCATCAACGAAGCAATGTTGTTCGAAATTCTATGGGACTAAATTAAGCCAGATGAATTTTTGATGCGAAACTACACAAGAGGCAAAATAATCCTACCTGTTTTGATGCCCATCTACACCCCTAATATGCTGACCGATTACAGGTCGTTTCTAAT